TGCATATATCATTTTATTTTTTAAGGTCGGTAGGACCTCTTATAGAGTTTGGAACAAGGCCTCAAATTTTGACGGCACGGCCCTGTCGCCAACGACCAGGGGAACCGCACCACGCCGTCCTATGTCGCCCTCAGCAACACCGAGCGGCTCATCGGTGATGCCGCTAACAACCAGGTCGCCATGAACCCCACCAACACCGTCTTCAGTACGCGCTCCGCTCCTCCCCTTGGCTTGCCCTTGTTACTATTACTGCTAAGTCGTTTCTCTCTGAATCCTAATTGCTAAGGATCCCTCTCATATATGTGGCTGGTATAGTTTGGATCTGACTAAGGCTCCGTTCGCTTCGCTGAAAAAAAAGCAAAAAATTGTGAAAGAAAAACACTGTTCTGGCTGAAAAAACAAGCTGAAAAGTACGGATTATAAGACAAGCAAACAGGACCTAAACAGTTTCGGCTGATTTGTTGTGAAAGAAAAATACTATTTCGGATGATTTGTCGTGAGAGAAACACCGTTGAATTGGGATGCATTTTTATTAGTAGTGCGCTGTTTACTGTGCTGTATAGGAACATGATGGTAGGAATCAGCGATAGACACTTCACATAATCATGATTCGATTTGGATCATTATATCTATCTAGTAACTAGTAGCAATGATTGGATTCAATCATTATATCTATCTAATAACTAGTAGCAATCTGGCTGTAACTGTAATGGAGCTTAGAATTTGGCAGACATTTTGTTCAAAAATATAAAATTTGGTATTTAGCAGCATATTCACCATCAGTACTTGCTATGCTGGAGTATATGCCATTTAGATTCAGAAAATTTCTGTTAAATTTCGTGTGGATTTTATTTAGTAATGTTGGGGAATACTACTGTAGTTTGTTGATCTGTTACAGTTCAGTAGTAGAGATGGTTGGAACTTTGTGTGACAAATTTAGATATAATTATTTGTACTTGTTGTAGTCTCTCATATTGACTGACAGCAATTGCGCTGCTCATTTGTTGTGGCAAAACATACTACTTGTGGTAAACTACTCTGCATGTCTTTAATCCTGACGTAAAGATGAACTGATAGTTATATTGTAATTCTTGCTGTGAGTTGTGACATATTGTTCCTCTGTTCTGCCTTTTGTTCCTCTGTCCTGCTTTCTGTTAATATTTAGGAATAAGCTGAACCAAGTGGAATTGATCTTGCTTTATGCCTTCCTCCTATTAATAAGAACAGCAACTCATAATTTTGTTCATTTTCTTTGTAGTGCAGATGCTAAGCGGTTGATTGGCAGGAGGTTCTCTGACCCGTCGGTGCAGAGTGACATGAAGCTATGGCCGTTCAAGGTCATTCCAGGCCCCGGTGACAAGCCTATGATTGTCGTCAACTACAAGGGCTTGGAGAAGCAGTTCGCTGCTGAGGAGATCTCCTCCATGGTGCTCATCAAGATGAAGGAGATTGCTGAAGCCTACCTCGTCTCCACGATCAAGAACGCCGTTGTGACGGTGCCAGCCTACTTCAACGACTCGCAGAGGCAGGCCACCAAGGATGCCGGTGTCATTGCTGGCCTTAATGTGATGCGCATCATCAACGAACCCACCGCAGCTGCCATTGCCTACGGTCTTGACAAGAAGGCCAGCAGCTCTGGCGAGAAGAATGTGCTCATCTTCGACCTTGGTGGTGGCACGTTTGACGTGTCACTTCTGACCATCGAGGAAGGCATCTTTGAGGTGAAGGCCACAGCTGGTGACACTCACCTTGGCGGTGAGGACTTCGACAACCGCATGGTGAACCACTTCGTCCAAGAGTTCAAGCGCAAGCACAAGAAAGACATCAGTGGCAACCCCCGCGCATTGCGCAGGCTGCGCACGGCGTGCGAGCGCGCGAAGCGCACGCTGTCGTCGACCGCGCAGACCACCATTGAGATTGACTCCCTGTTCGAGGGCATCGACTTCTACTCGACCATCACCAGGGCTCGCTTTGAGGAGCTGAACATGGACTTGTTCCGCAAGTGCATGGAGCCCGTGGAGAAGTGCCTGTGCGACGCCAAGATGGACAAGAGCAGCGTGCACGACGTCGTGCTTGTTGGCGGCTCCACCCGTATCCCCAAGGTGCAGCAGCTGCTGCAGGACTTCTTCAACGGCAAGGAGCTGTGCAAGAGCATCAACCCCGACGAGGCCGTGGCGTACGGAGCCGCCGTCCAGGCTGCCATCCTCAGCGGGGAGGGAAACGAGAAGGTTCAGGACCTGCTCCTGCTGGACGTCACGCCTCTGTCCCTTGGCCTGGAGACTGCTGGTAGTGTCATGACCGTGCTCATCCCGAGGAACACCACCATCCCGACCAAGAAGGAGCAGGTCTTCTCCACCTACTCCGACAACCAGCCGGGAGTCCTGATCCAGGTGTACGAGGGCGAGCGCGCCAGGACCAAGGACAACAACCTCCTCGGGAAGTTTGAGCTCTCCGGCATCCCTCCTGCTCCCCGTGGCGTGCCCCAGATCACTGTGACCTTCGACATCGACGCCAACGGCATCCTCAACGTCTCTGCCGAGGACAAGACCACCGGGCAGAAGAACAAGATCACGATCACAAACGACAAGGGCCGGCTGAGCAAGGAGGAGATCGAGAAGATGGTGCAGGAAGCTGAGAGGTACAAGGCAGAGGACGAGGAGGTTAAGAAGGTGGTGGACGCCAAGAACGCGCTCGAGAACTATGCCTACAACATGCGGAACACCATCAAGGACGACAAGATCGCCTCCAAGCTCCCTGCAGAGGACAAGAAGAAGATCGAGGATGCTGTCGATGGAGCCATCAGCTGGCTGGACAGCAACCAGCTTGCTGAGGCCGACGAGTTCGAAGACAAGATGAAGGAGCTGGAGGGCATCTGCAATCCAATCATTGCAAAGATGTACCAGGGCGCTGGTGCGGGCATGGGCGCTGCTGCTGGCATGGATGAGGATGCCCCAGCCAGCGGGGCGCTGCGGGTCCCAAGATTGAGGAGGTCGACTAAAGTTCTTGGTGTGGAAGTCGTTTGGCAACTGGAAAGGGTGGGTCGGAAGGAAGTCTGAATTCTGATGGTGATGGTTGACTTGCTGTTCAGATATCCTGAACTCTGAATGCCTCATGATGCCGTGTCGAGTAGTCGAGTCTTTTATAGTAGCTTTTGAAGTCGTGATGGAGAGTCTGAACCTTGGAACTTGGAAGTGTTGTGGCTTTTTTTAAACTTGAGTAGCTTTTGCAAATAATCGTTAATATTGTTTCAGTCGTCGTGTTTTATTGAAAACCCTGCAATTGATTACTTGGTTGGAGTAGTCCTGCTCGAACGCTCCGTACCGAGGCAGACGTGACAGTGGCCTGGTCGTTTTGTTGAAAAGTCACGGCTGAAAGTAATATTCGCTGATTTGTGGTAAGAGAAAAACACAGTCCATTCATCGAAATAGTATGGCTCATGAGATAAGTGAACAGGGTCAGTATCAAAACGCATGATCACAAAAGCTTATACGGGTTTTCCCTATTTCTGACCTGAATATACGACACTTAATCTATCTTAATTCTATTTAGGAGGGCTAACAACTAGAGTATCTTCATGAGTTCCCAAAAATTTCTTCTCAAAAGTATTAGGAGGTAGAATTTCTTTCTAAAATTATAGAGTTTTTAAACTCGTCAAAAAGTATTAGGAGAAATAAATAAGAACATCTCTAAGAGTATCTAATAATTTGTTCCCAAAACATAGTATTTTCTAACTCCCAAAGAAGTATTAGGAGAAATAAATAAGACCATCTCGAAGTATTAGGAGAAATAAATGAGACGATCTCAAACAGTTTCTAATAATTAATACAATTTTACATCAAGAATCTTATATTATTTCTAAATTATTCCAACCACTTTTATATATTCTTTCTTTCATATACATTTGTATCAGTAACCTTTTTTCTACTCTTTATTCTTTTTCATGCCCTTCCACATTTAGATTGGGATAACGAACACACGCAGGTCGAAGCGTAGATCTTTGCGTGTGTTAGCCCCGTAGATCTTTGCACGTGTTAGGCTGATTTTTTTCTAAAAGATTAGGAGGTGGTATTGGGAACTTTTGGAGATGAGTTTTTTCTATTCTTTCCAAAAATCCTAGATTGGGAGGCTTTACTGGAAACTCTTGGAAATGCTCTAAGACCGTCTTCAATAGTCTCTAATAATTCACCTCTAAGATGTAGAAGACAATTTTACATCAAGAATCATATACTATTTCTAAATTATCTTAACCACTTTTATATTTTTTTTTCTCTCTCTTCTACATTTGCATCACGAATTCTTTTCTATTCTTTATTCTTTCTCACATCCTTCCATCTTAGATTGGCCGACCGATACGCACGTCTTCCATTTGTGGATATATCCGTGCTTTTGGGGAGGTGGGATTGTGAACTCTTTGATGGGTTTTTCTATTCTTGTCAAAAACACTAGATTTGAAGGCTTTGTTGGGAGTACAAACTCGAACAAATTCAATACAATTTTGACTTATAAACAAAACTAATACACTGAATTCTAAACAATCTAAACGTGCTGCAAAATTGAGGATTTATGAAAGTAAGTAGAAAATGATGCTGACTCATCCTCTTTGTATATCTAAGTGCGTAACGAAAGCTATGTATATAGAAAAGCTAAAACATGTTATAATTTGAAATGGACGGATTAATAAGTTTAATGTAAAGAGAAATATTCGGGGGAATTTGTCTTTGTGAACCGAACAAACAAAGCCAGTCTTTTGCTTGCGTTTGTGTGTGTGTTTTTTGGTTGGAGATAGAGGAAGCAGCAATGCACGAGGACATGGACATCTACGGTATACAATATGAAAAGAAAATACAACATCATCATCCGTATCATATATGTCTCGAACATGAAGATATTCCAGACTTATCTAATTTTAATACAGCATCGATATCGGCAGCATCACGCCACGGCGAGTGCCGGCCGGAAGCGCTGGCGGCGGCACAACGGCAAGAGGCCGCGAAGCCTCCTCAGCTCCCTTGGCGCATGGAGTCGCTGTCACCTCCTTCTCCAGCCACTCTCGTGTTCTCGCGTCCACGGCGAAGACGTCGAGGGCTCTCAAGAGCACGGCGGTGGCGCGATCGGGGCACCCCAGGCGCAGCTCCGCCTTGGCGTACTTGGCGTGCGGTGGCGGCGGTCCCGTGGCGGAGCTCGAAGTCGATGTAGTGGCACCAGAAGCCGCCCTCGTCCTGGCTGGGCCGCCTCTCCTCCTCCTCGCCGTCGTCGTCCCTGTTCCTGGCGCCGCGGACGCGGAGGTACCAGATGCGCCAGCCCTCGAAGAGCTCCCGGACGCGAGTGGCGTCGGTGCCGGCCTCCACCTCCATGCCGATCCAGGCATGGTAGATGGCGGGGTGGTGCACGTTGCTGCAGAAGAGCGCGTCGCCGAGGAGCGTGCCCGCCTCCCTCAGGCCGCCGCCGCCGCGGTCGCTCCGGAACGTCTCGAGCGCCAGCTTGCACCGCCCCACGGCGAGGCTGCGGCCGGGGGTGGTGGCGTCCAGCAGCGCGCAGGCACGACGGCGCCGCTCGGCCGCGTCGTCCACCCGTTCGGTCGCCGCCATCTCGGCGAGATAGAGCTCGATCGCCCTGCGGAACGGAAGCGGAGACAGGTGCCGATGGGTGCTGCTGGTGCGTGCATGCGGGGCGATCGATTAAAATAGACCAAGTGCAGACTGCAGTCATCGATTCTGTTGCGGAATAGATCGGAGGATGAGCAAAGCGCGTACGTTGCCCTTGTTCGTCTCCGACTTCCGTATCATGTACAGTTGCAAATGCAGTGCGCCAGCACCGTTCCGTGCAACGCAACTCACGCCGACGGCAGGACCGTCCGATGGACAGGCGCGTGGTGATATGATCTGGTCGTGATATTGTTGCTTGTGACAATTGATATAAGAGAATCGGAAAAGTTCCTACGTGACCCATCGTGCTGGAGCGGAACGGCATGACCCCGCTCCCTCTCCCTTCCGCGCTGTTGCTCCCACGCTCTTCCTCCCTCCGCAACCGCCCACAACAGCGACCGCGTCGGAGACGAAGAAGACAACGCCGGCGGCTAGGGTTCCGCGACCTCCATCTCCCACTCTGGTAGGCTTAGATGGGGCCGGCCGGGGGAGGTAGCCAGGCGGTGGCGGGGAAGGCAGCCGGGCAGCTTGGGAGCCATGGCGGTGCCAGAGGTGGGAGCTAGGGAGGGGCGAAGGGAGGTCACGGTGGCTGGAGCTCGTCGTCGCGGGAGGGGGAGGGGAAGAAGACGGCCGCCGCGGGCGCCCTAGCGCACCGTGGCGGGGTGGTGGCAGGTGGCAGGGGCGAGGACGAGGAGGAGGACAGGGTCGAAGAGCGGGGGCGGACGGTGGTTGAGCATGTCGGCGGCTAGGGTGGCAGGGGCGTAGATGGTAGAGAGGCGAGCGGGAGGTAGACAACGGGTCGCGCCACGCTTTAACGTCGTCCTAAGAGAATAGCTTCGGTTGCAAGTTTCTACGCTGGTTAGGCCGGCAGACTCGAAACAAATCTGCAAAAGAGTTGTAGCCATCAACTGCAGCAACGTTAGTCTTAGACAAACCATATAACTGAGTTTTCGAGAGAGTGAAAAAAGTCACGAAATATACTTATATTATACTGTTATACTCCCTTCGTCTGTGAAAGAACGTAATTCTACGTTCCCGAGGCTAGATTAGTGACTGAGCGAAATTACCTACATAGCCTTGCTTTATTCCTTGGGCAGAGGCTCCGTTCGCTTTGCTAAAAAAATAAACCAAAACACTGTTTCGACTAATTTGTTGTGGGAGAAAAATATTGTTCCAACTAAAAATTAAACTCAAAAAGACAGATTATAAGATAAGCGAACATAGTCAGAAGCTCGTAGGCGCACTATCGCTGCACAAGGATCGATGTCAATCAAATGCAAGTGAGAAGGTGGGTTCAGAGAAGGTGTTTTGTGGTTGAGAATATACGTGCTGCTGTGGAGGTACGTGAAAACAGGACCCACTGTCCGGCTAGCCCATATATAGAGATAAAAATGGACAGGACACGGAGGGATATCATTTGTTTTATATTTTTTTTATTTGGATTCGAATATAGATATAGTCAACCATGCCTATATGATCATCGTAAATATATGATTTGAGTATTCGATACGGATACGATATCGGATGTTGAATATCTGTATTCGGATACGGACAGATCTAAGCTCCTCCAAACGGATTCGGTCTCGAATACAGTCAGAAAATATCTGTACAATTTTTACCCGTGCGGCCTTCAAGTCAGATTGCATTCTTTGGACAAAGGCAAGAAGCTAAAATTGCAACCTTTACCGGTTGGAGGAAATATAGAAAAGTTATGTGGGTGGTGAACCGTCAAGTAATAACCCTCATGATTCGGAAGCAGCGAAAATCTCGTTTTCATAACGGTGCACACCGCGCACACCGCTAGAAAACATTTCGTGGCTTGAGTTCGTGATGGTCAGGACCAGCTACAGACTGCAGCAAGTCAGTCAATGGCTGTACGCCATCTAGACGGTCGGATCCGAATCAGACGGCTCAGGTTGTACCAATCAGCTGGGCTAAGAGCATCCTACAGCTAGCTGAGTAGAGCGGCCCGCAAGCAAATCCCCTATCTCCAACCTGTGAACCCCAATCGAATGACGCCGACGGCGAGCCTCCTCCTCCCGGCTCCCCCATTCGTCTCCATCTCTGATGTGCGCCGCCTCCAGCTCCCCCCGCGCGGCCGCCACCGGCCTCGCCTATGCTGGAGGGGCGTGGAGTGGGGCACCGTACAGACCCGGATGGTCTCTTCTTTCGTTGGTATGAGCGAACCCTACTACCCGTGGAATAGATTGCTCTGAGTGCCCTGTTCTTGGGGATTCTTTGATGTGTGGAATCAAATTCAAATCTTTTCTCACATTCGTGCTGGCACGCTGATTTTGTCTTTCTTTGGCGACTGTAGGGAGCAGGACACGCCGCAGAAACGTTATATGTGCTTCCCTGTTTGGAGTTGGAGCTCCCGAAGCACTGGTCATTGGAGTAGTCGCCCTGTTGGTGTTCGGCCCCAAGGGTCTGGCAGAGGTAAATTATCTGCGTCTACAAGCCTGGTTAGCTTTCTGTTCTTGCCTTCTAGGGGGGTGTTTACTCGTTAATGTGCTTGAGAGGTGCTAGCAATTGAGAAATTTTGACCACTGAACGACAAGATTGACCTAGGTATAGAATTTCAACCCAAAAAAAAAGTTTAAAATTTTTTTTGGACCAACTTAGGAGGAACTAGGTGGCATTTTGTTAAGAATAAAATATGCACCCAAAATAGTTAAAAAAAATCAACTTCATTAGTATTATGTTAGGACCAGCCCTTCTTCTTCAGCTCACTGTTGATCCCTTTGTCCATTCAGATTCATCCCAGTGCATAAATTTTCCTTAGTCCAACTCTCAGTTCAGGCCACTCGGGTCCATTGAGATGCTTGGTTGCTCTATCCTGGCATTATCCACCAGCTGCTGTAATTATGCTACCTCAATTCCTCCTTATGTCTGATTTTAACGTGATACTTAGCTGACAGTCTAAGGCTGTAAGCTATTAAGTTCCTCCCTGATAGGCTTTAATCGTGAACTCTGTTGGAACTATGGAATTTTTATCATTGACTTCAAACACCATCCCATTTCTATAGAGTTTTGTTTTGTAATCCTTCTTTGAATTCTCAGCATCATTGTCATCGAAAACTGGCTATTTTAAATTGTTTAGGAAAAATATATTGTAGCACATGTGTGCATAAAGGTTCACCTCAAGTTAAATTGAAGACTCCTTTATCTGCTAACAACCAAAGTAAAAAATGATTCTGTTCTCTAACCTTTTTTCCAAATTTACTTTTAAACGTTTTTTCCCTCTCTGCTTCTGTGCTTGACAATCATTTCCATATCAGCATATGTTCTCTACAAACCTATGATCTTGAGCTATCACTGTTAAACAAGAAATGTTTTAGATGCAGTGCTAACATATGGGTCTTGGCCTCATTTTCTATCTTGTTTCTAGGTAGCCAGGAATTTGGGGAAGACTTTGCGTGCTTTCCAACCAACCATTAGAGAGATACAGGTTGGTCCTTGATTTGTTGTTGCAATATGTTTGAGGATCTTGTTACGTTACGTAATGTAATATGATCTGCTGCACTAAGGATGTATCAAGGGAGTTCAGGAGCACTCTTGAACGAGAAATTGGAATTGATGAGGTTTCCCAATCGACGAATTATAGGCCCACAACCATCCAACAACCTGCTGCCGACCCAAGTTAGTAGATTTGACTACTTCTGAATTTCTTTCCAATGTTATCATGGCCACTTCAGTAAAAAAGAACTTTTCCTAAAGTCACATTTGAGAATCATGTTTTTCAGTCAAACACCACAGATACCCATAGATGCCCACTTCTGTTTTCATTCCTAGCAGTTATTGTTGGCAAACCTCTGTTTACATGTGCATTATTTGGCTCAGTTATGGTTCTTCCTTTCTTGTTACAGTGTGTCATATACTAACAAACAGCCAGAAGTATGTTATGTATTAACAATTATCAGAAGCCATTAACATTTGGAAGATGATATACAGTCAACCAGATGATTATTTAGCATTTTCCCTGATATTAATGAAGTATATAAGTAATTCCATGTGAGCTTAACACCCATGACCTGTGTTGTGTTCTCTCTTATTTGTTTTCTTTGAAGTGCTTGAAACTGACAAAAATTTATCCGTTTGGTTCTAGCCTTTAACTCAGAGCTCAGAAGATGGGCTTGCACCAGTCTCTAAAGTCATTGATTTCTATATTGCTATGTCAGTGCCTTATTACTATCCATCCTGCATTCAGATGTCAAGCCTGAACCTGCACCTTATACTAGCGAGGAACTCATGAAAGTAACTGAAGAACAAATTGCTGCATCAGCTGCTGCTGCTTGGAATCCGCCACAGCCTGCCATGTCGCAACAGCAAGGTCTGGCATTTCTAATCTTGCAACAAGTTGCAATTTCTTGAACTATTTAGTATTTACAATACCTGAATTTGCAAAGGCTCCTAGTTTGTGTTTACCCGGGTTAATTTCCAATCTCGAGAATAAAAGAGACATGTACAAGCTAAATTGCTGCACATTGTGATGTTTCAGAAGCAGCGGCCACTACTCCAAGTGATGGCGCAGCTACATCAGGAGGAATCGATGGTCCTGCAGCTCCGGCTCTTGCTGTGAGTAACTCTGACCCAAACCAAGTGAATCAGTCGGAGAAGGCAGAAACAGAGAGATGACTCCGCTTAACAGTTTGACACTGGATGGAAAGAGCACACTGAACAGATCAGGACGAGCAGTCTTGTTTTAATTTTGTAGGCGGTGGAAATAGTTGTATAAGAATAAGAGCGTTTTCAATGCTTAGGCTTGTTCTATAGCAGCAGCAGCATGTGCAGGTTGATGCAAAAAGGCTATGTGTATATTTCCCAAGTTTTACGTGGCCGTGATTGTTTTCAATCATCATTCTAACATTCTGAGCGTATTGTAACCACGAGTTTGTATGGATTAAATATTTTTAGCCACGTGGAAAAACCCGGTTCAGTTAAGAAAATAGTGCCCTTCGGTTGATCAAATGTATTGTTTTTGTGTAAGATTGAAAACGCAATTGAACAGGCGAATTCAATCAAGCGCACAAAGAAAATTTGGTCGGACATTAAAAATACAAACGTCAATAACTACTACGTTATTTGGTTTGGAAGCATATAAGTGTTTTATTTGTATATATGTCAAATGTTTTGTGTTTTAAGAAACGCACTTGAACAGGTGAATACAATCAAACACACAAGCAAAATTTGGTCAAACATTAAAACTGCAAAAATCCATAACTATTACATTACATGTAAGTTATATATGTAGATTTGTATTCAAAATATTTGTAAAATTTCTTATAATTTGAATGATTTTAAGCACATTCTGAAAGGAAACTAGTGGTCAAATATATGCATTGAAACCATGTAGGTCAAATATGCAAGCAGTTGTGATGGAGGGGATACCGCTAAACAAACCAACAGGCGCATCAGTTTAACCTGCGAAGTGCGACATCATACCAGATTTTAAGCATATTCCTGATGCCTAGTCAAGCAATGCCAGCTTCTTGATTAAAAATATGTTTGAAACGCGTGAATTTGATTTAACATGGTTCAGTGGCATGCGCTGTAGAGTAGAGACAAGAGGTCTTGTTGTCTGTACTCTGTATAGAGTAGCCCACTTGCATCCCTATCTGTAGTCTGTACTGCATAATTGGGGATTTCGGCGTTATGGATACGCACGAGCGGTGCCGACGTACCATGACGAGGAAAATTCTAGCGATACGCCGCCTGAAGAGTCCAGTCATGGTCACAAACAAGCAAGTACCGAGAGCCTGGCTTAGGACATATTTGGTAGGGCTTCTTTTTAGCTCTGGCTTCTAAGCCCTGTCAAACATTTTGCTGGAGAAGTTGTTTTCCAGAGAAAAAAAAGAGAAGCCAGAGCTATTTTAGAGATACCACAAATTATGACTCTTATAAAACGGCTCCAGCTCCTCCGAAAGAGCCTCTCGGGAGGAGCTCTCCCAGACATCCCCTTAGCTTCTTGTGTTCTTGTATTGCTTGAATCTGCAAAAATTAAACACAAACAGAGGACGAGAGTACGAGACAGAGGAGAAGGATCATGGACTACAGCATGCAGGGCTCCAAGGACTCGTACTCTCCCCAAGGCAAGACTCTGCTCGGCTCCTCATATGGTCACTCTAGTGTGCTTTGTTCTTGCAAACTGTTCTAGCTACTTGTTGCCATCTTGCAACTACAGAGCTGCTCTGTTCTTTGTTTCGAGGTGACCATCCAATTTTCGTGTCTTTCATCAGTTCACAACTTGTACGCGGATGCTCAGCCAGGGCTGTATCCGCCGCCGCCGGCGGCGAACCCGCAGGGGGGCTACGGCTACCAGTACCAGGGCTACTTCGGCGAAGCGGCGAACCCTTACACTGGCAGGTGGCCGCAGCAGCCAGCAGCTCCGTCTGATGGGGGCCCTTTCTACTACCAGGACGATGCCGACTGCATCACCTTCCTCAGAGGATGGTATGCATGCATGTTCCACTTCCTGCTACGATTCTTCAATTAAGCTTTCCACATGCCTTGATGCATATATATACATATACATGTCGCCATGCTGATCCTGTTCTTGTCTACTGAGCCCTGTATGATCGTCATAGCTAGGAGATTTTTTCCCCTTTCAGAAACGGAACCGGCATATCAACGACAAATTGTTTCATAGCCACATGGATACAGTAACTGATAATCTCAAATTAACAAAATCTTACTGTCTTGTTTGCTTGTTGCGGTAAAATAGCTTTCTGATGTTCAGGTTCTTGTGTCCTGGAGAGCTGAATGAAAGCTTGTTTGAGATTTTGTCTCAGTCTCAGTCAGTCAGTCGTCTGGTAAATAAACAAGAAAACAAACTGAAAGCAGACTGAACTTGGCACACCGGCCTGCGTTGTGTCCTGAAATTTACAGTAGTATCTCTGAAACCGTGAGCAGCATGACTAAGTGATTGTGAAGTGAAGGGATTATAGCTGTGTTTCAAAATAAAAACACGTTGGCCTCACCCTCACCGGTGCTTTCTTTACATGTCCAACCAACAAGTCACAAGAGCATGGGTTATATCTGTGCACTGTGGTGTCTAATTAATCCAACACATGATGTCTGTTTGCGTTGCAGTGTTGCTGGGCTGTGCTGCTGCTGCTTGCTGGAGCGATGCTGCCTCTGCTGCTACTGAGGAGGAGGATGGAGAGCGTGGTGAAAGCTAGGCTTCCTCCTTTCTGGAGCACACTTGCTTCAGATGATCAGAACCGCAGCCGTGAATGTGATGTACACATGTCGAATATATAAGCAAATACTCCAACTAATAATAAGCTCTGATCATGGAGCCACGCAGCAGAGGCGATGGTTTCTGCGTTGACGACATCCATCCATCCATGTAAAACCAAGGAGCAGCTTGCCATCATCATGTCTCTCTTGGCTGCCACTCGTCCTTGGCCCTCGTATCTTTGAGAGAGATAGGGAGCACCGGAGCAGCATGGTTTTTCTCTGCTCGGACTCGGACAGATTGAGACGCGACGGCGATGGTGCGCAGGCATGGCATGGGTGAGCCATGGCCACTGCTGTCTGCCACCGCCGGACCGGACGCGTGCATGCGGTGCGCGACATGGGTGGGTGGGGAGCCGGAAGCCCCAGTGAGGTAGCGCAGTGCAGTGCCCCCACGTGCCTGCTGCCGACCTGAGCTCCATCCGTGTACTCACAGTGTCTAGTGTCTAGGTCAGTCACTCGGACAGTCGTCGGCCTGTGCCTGCGGCCTGCCAATGCAAAGCCACCATCATCCAAGTCGGATGGATGGGCAAATCGATCTACAGACTACAGTAGTATCAGAAAGGGGAGTTTGACCAATGCTTGTCCTTCATATATCAGCAAGAAGAGCTTTGCCACAGCCAATTTGATCGTATTTGTTGCTGGTATATAGTCTATAGACTGATCCAAATCGAGTCTTTTCGGTCTTTCGGACCGACTGGAGACGAGAAGCCCGTGCCCACGCATCCGATCCTTGCATGATCAGATCAGCAGATCAGAGATCAGACGGGAGGGAGTCCAACATGTTAAGTACATTTACGATCTCTAGCAGTAGATCTAGGTTTGTTCCTTTAAATATGGGATGAACAGAGGGGAAAGATAGGAGAAATAAAGAGAGAGGTGTTGTGTTGAACCTGACCCCTCGGAGGGAGTCGCGGATGAACTGGAGCCGGCCATCTCAGGTTCGTTGATGGAGGCAGCACACGGACAGCGACGGTTGGTGAGGAGAGGCGACGCAGTGGAGACGGTGATGCAGTGCAGTGGCGACGGCGAAGTCAGTGGAGCTTCCCGTCGCTGGCTGCGTGCCCTCTTAGATCGGTCTAGGGTTTGTTGGTGGGGTTTTCGGCTCACGGTGAACCTCGTACCTCGAGCCGTCGGTCCCCACCTCTTTATATAGCGTAATGCGACGGGGGCCCACCAACCATGTAGGGTTGGGCGCCCCCGATCAGGGCGCGTGACCAAGGCCCAATAGGCCATTGGACTTATTGGCTAGGAGATCAATCTAACATTCTCTCCCTTGATCTCACACTATTACTTTTATCTTTAAACTTTAAACTTCAATCCTTTTATCCTTACTCATTTCTTCACAGATGATGCATAGAGCATGTTTCATCGTCATGGTCAATCGCCGATAGATTTAACAGTTACAATGCACGTCTCTGATCTAAAATAGTTACTTTAACTTTTGGGTCCTTTATAGTCCAGGAGTCATAGGCTTTCCCTTAAACCCATGTCGGCTACATGTTCTCTGAACACGTTGGGTGGTAAGTCTTTTGTAAGTGGATCCGCGAGCATCTTTTCGGTACTTATATGCTCAAGACTTATCATTTGATTCCGGACTTTATCCTTCACAACATAATACTTTATGTCAATGTGTTTGGTAGCACCACTTGACCTATTGTTGTGAGCATACTGTACTGCTGGATTATTATCGCAGTATAATTTCAGTGGTCTATTGATGTCGTCAACCATCTTCAAACCGGGTATGAACTTCTTTAGCCAGTTCACCTGCCCCGTTGCCTCATAACACGCTACAAACTCGGCATACATTGTGGACGATGTAGTGATGGTTTGCTTTGAGCTTTTCCATGAAATAGCTCCCCCTGCGAGAGTGAACACATATCCAGACGTGGATTTTCTATTATCTCCCGCATAATCAGAATCAGAATATCCCACTATATGGAGTGAATTAGATCTTCTATACGTCATCATGAGGCATTTCGTTCCTTGCAAATAACGCAAGACTTTCTTTACCAATTTCCAGTGTTCTATTCCAGGATTGCTCTGGAATCTGCCAAGTAACCCGGTAACAAATGCCAAGTCAAGGCGCGTGCATACTTGAGCATATTGTAAGCTTCCGACAGCTGAAGCATATGGAACCACTTTCATTTGATCGATCTCATATTGGTTCCTGGGGCATTGAAAATCGCCATATCTGTCGCCCTTGACTATAGGAGCAGGTGAGGGACTACATTTATGCATACAGAATTTCTTTAAGACTTTTTCTATGTATGCTTTTTGTGACAGTCCTAATACCCCTTTACTTCTATCTCGGTGAATCTCGATCCCTAGAACGAACGAAGCTTCACCAAGATCTTTCATATCAAATTTTGAGGATAAAAACTTCTTTGTTTCCAGTAGTAGACTGACATCACTACTAGCAAGTAAGATATCATCCACATACAGGACAAGGAAGATAAACTTCCCATTCTTAAACTTTGCGTAGACACAATTGTCCTCAACATTATCTTTAAACCCAAAATTCTTTATTGTTTGATCAAACTTCAAGTACCACTGTCTTGAAGCTTGTTTTAATCCATAAATGGATTTCTTTAGGCGGCATCCCAAACGTTCTTTTCCTTCCATGACAAAACCTTTCGGTTGTGCCATGTAAATATTTTCTTCTAAGTCTCCGTTGAGAAATGACGTCTTTACATCCATCTGATGTAATTCTAAATCGTAATGTGCCACTAATGCCATTATGATTCTGAAGGAATCCTTACATGAGACTGGAGAAAAGGTCTCATTGTAATCAATTCCTTCTCTTTGTGTAAAGCCTTTTGCCACAAGTCGGGCTTTATATCTCTCTATATTCCCTTGAGAGTCAAGTTTTGTTTTGTAGACCCATTTACAGCCTACTGTTTTGGCTCCTTTAGGAATTATCTCCAAATCCCAAACTTTATTTGCATTCATTGATCTCATTTCATCTTCCATGGCCTCAAGCCACTTTGATGAATGATCACTTTTCATGGCCTCTTCAAATGAGGTGGGATCATCCTCCATTTGAAATTCCTCAGTATTGTACACTTCATAATCAGCAGAAATAGCTGATTTTCTAACTCTTTGAGACCTTCTAGGGGTCTCCTCATTTGGCACATTTTCTGTTTGAGGCTGTTGTTGCTCCCCCTCATGTGTGGCAATAGGTTCTATAGGATCCTGAGGAACAGGTTCCTCATCATCATTCATTGTTGCCACAGGCGGGATAACAACAGGTGCTGGCACCACAGTGTCTTGTACTGTCGGTGCAGCAACAGCAGGTAGTGAGAAAAATGGCTCATGAATTATCAGAGTGGGTGCATACACCCGCTTCTCTTCAAGGTCAATTTCTCGAGCTACCATACTCCCCCTAATCATTTCATCCTCTAGGAAGACAGCGTGTCTCGTTTCCACAAACTTTGTATGTCTGTTAGGACAGTAGAAACGAAAACCTTTTGACTTTTCTGGGTAGCCAATGAAATAGCAACTCACTGTTTTGGGATCTAGCTTTCTAATGTTTGGGTTAAAAACTTTAGCCTCAGTAGGGCTCCCCCACACACGCAAGTGGTTAAGTGATGGTACTCTTCCTGTCCACAACTCATACGGTGTTTTGGGCACCGACTTACTTGGTACTCTATTGAGAATATGAATGGCAGTTTTTAACGCCTCCATCCACAGACTCATCGGTAAAGTGGAATAACTTATCATACTACGCACCATATCCATCAGGGTACGATTACGCCTTTCAGCTACTCCATTCTGCTGAGGTTCGCCCAGTGTGGAATACTAGGCTACTATGCCATTCTCCTGTAAGAACCTTGCAAAAGGTCTAGGAACTTAGCCATATGGGGTATGCCGACCGTAGTACTCTCCCCCACGGTCAGACCTGACTATCTTAATCTTTAAATCATGCTGATTTTCAACTTCTGCTTTAAATATTTTGAATTTATCCAACGCTTCTGTTCTTTCTTTAATTGGATAAATATAGCCAAACCGAGAGTAATCGTCTGTGAATGTTATGAATGAATTATAACCATCCACACTTTTCACAGGAAAAGGACCACAGATATCTGTGTGAATAATCTGTAGAATTCATGCGCTTCGTTTGGCATCTTTCTTAATTTTCTTTACATATTTTCCTTTTATGCAATCTCTACATTGTTCTAAATCTGAGAGCTCTAATGGAGGAAGAATATCATTCTTAACTAGTCTTTCTATTCTTCCCCTCGAAATATGGCCTAAACGACAGTGCCATAATTTCGACAACGCATCGTGAGCTCTCTTTCGTTTTCTGTTTGCATTGTTCGATGAGGATACATTCTCATTCACATCACATACGGAATTCACATTTTCACGAACTGATAACAAATAAAGCTCGTCTTGTCGGAAGGCAAGACCAATACATCTATTATTAAACAATATCTTACATTTGTCATTTCCAAAATGGCAATCATAACCATCATGGTCCAACTTTGATACACTAATCAAGTTTCTTTGCAAAGAAGGTACATAAAGAACATCTCTAAGAAAAAGTATGAAGCCATCAGCAAGCTCTAGCGGAAGATCGCCAATGACCTCAACATCTGCTTGTACTCCATTTGTGACTTTAATGAAACTTTCGCTTCTTTACAAAGTTCTCATCGAACGGAATCCCTGTAATGAATTAGCAACATGAATAGTTGCACCTGAATCAATCCACCAAGTAGATTTTGAAAACTTGACATACAAGGATTCATTTACGAATGTAATAATGTTCTCACCTTTATTTTTCATAATCATCTTTAGGAAATCGGGACAATTCTTCTTATAATGTCTCGTCTTCTTACAGTAGAGACACTGGTCTTTATCCACTGGGAATTGCTTGTTCTGAGACTGTTGCATGGGACCCTTTACAGATGACTTGGAGGAAGAGCTGTTATTATAGTTCTTTTTCTTATCTTTTAGGTAGTTGGCAGTACCACCCTGTGAAACTTTTATTCTTTCCTCCTCCTGCACACACATGGCTATGA